AATTTCCCGGGACACGGCGAAACAGTTGGTTGGGCAACAAAACGACTTCCCATTAAAGAAACATTTCATCGACAGTGTCCTTAACGTCGAACAAGTCTTGCGTGCGCAATTCCCTAAGGACCTTCTTCACGAAGAGGTTCTAAAACATCGGATTGTTACGTCTACCACGAGCATTATTGCGACACGAGCATTCCCTAAGGGAACGATACAACGGTGGGAAAATATTGGAGGAAATTAACGCGCCACTCGGAGAGATTTCCATGCTTTTTTTACACATGGTGAGCTGCGCCTCTTTCTCTCGTTGCTTCCCATTATCCGACCATCGTGTTTGCAACATCGGAAACTCTCTCTCTCTCTCTCTCTTTCTCTCTTCCTCGTTTTATTCCTCTCACTCACACTCTCTCTCTCTCTCTCTTTCTCTTTCTCTTCCCCTTTTTCTTCCTCCCTCTATTTCGCCGCGGACGACCATAATAGAGGAGGAGGAACGAGCCACTGTTAAGCGCGCATCGTATACAGGAATTGTTTTCGATAAAAAGCTCGACAAACCGCTGAGAGACCGGATCCTCCGATTCTTTCGTGACGCACGCACAGCAGCGCCCATTGTTCGTCATTATGTTCCCTGGGAGGACGACAAGTCTCGACGCAGATTCATAATGCACTTCACGCAAATTGACTTCAATTTCGCAGTCTTCAAAGCCGACCATCGCCAAAAGGTGCCGATAGAGCGGAGCTTCTGACGGAATTCGGCGGAAATTAACTCGAGAAGATGAGAGAGAGAGAGAGAGAGAGAGAGGAGAGGAGAAAGAGAGGAAGAGAGAGATCACACTGATTGCGACACAATCGGTCAGAGAGTAATTTCTGACTGTAGTTTTCGACATTCCCAATTTAAATAGGAAAAAAAACGCGACAGAACACCGTCATCAGACGGTACCATCAGCACCGTGAAAGTTACGGGGATTTATTCGATGGCTGAAATAAACCATAGGGATAACTACAAGCTGACCAAAGTGCGGCGATTAGCATTTTCGTTCTCTCGCCTACGGTATTAGCACTGTGCCGACGTAATATACATATTTAATGGCATGCACGAATCCGGATGCGCATGTCATAAGCCACGAAGAGGGACTCTACAGATCTGATGCAATCAGATGCAAATTATAGTGCGCGATTGCAATCACATTGAAAGCTTACCGACCAATGTCAAACATATCTCACGGAACGCCGGAACCGCACGAGGCTCGACACCGAGGATATTTGGTGCGCGAGAAATATTTTCAGTCCGCCCGCGGAACATCGCAACGTGATGCATTTCGCACGAATAATTATCACATATTGTGATGTCGCGAGTCTTTATTAAAAAGGAATACTCGGACGGTCGGGTGAAAATTTCACGATACGACGGTATCACATGGTCGCCGCGTTAAACGTATGTCACGTACCGTGCGCGTACAAGAACACACCACTTCGAATAATACATCATCCTTCTTCGCAGACCTCCTACATCACCGTTTACGAGTTCACTCGATTTAGCTCGGCCAGATTTTATGTAACTACGAAGAAAACATCTCGATCACCGAGCCGTCGGAAATATCCTCGACGTGATAAGAAGGGGTTGCGCCGCGCCTTCCTCTCACGAACTCTCCCCCGATTTACCCCCCGACGCACGCGTCTCAGCAGACCGTAAATCAAACACCGCTTTCCCGAGGAACAAACGCAAATAAAGATTGGCAACGAGCACTTCGGAGTGAAGTTATGGCCGGCCGGGTTGAATCCGCATTCGATCCCGATTCGAATTTATATCACCCGTTTCGGCGCTTCCCTTTCTTCTTCTTCTTCTTCTTCTTTCTTTCTTCTTTTTATTCTTTTTCATCGTTCTTCTCCTCCTCCTCCTCCTCCTCCTCCTTCTATCCGGTGCTTTTATTCTTCACAACGGAACTGTGTGGAAATTCAACGAGCGAGTTTTTCAGGCAGCAAGAATGCTGGATCGACGGGGTGTGTTTTACTTATTCGGATCGAACGCTGGGAAATCCCTTTCTGTGGAAACGTCCATCAGTTTTCCGCCGTGCTTTAGTCGGCGATGATGGATCCCTCCAATATCAGCTTCGAAAGCTTCCACGTATTTTCGCTTGATAATCATCCACCGTCTATATCTACTGGTTATTTCGTAATTTATTTGTGCGATATATTCATCACGATATATCGACAAGTGACAGAGAGAGAGAGAGAGAGAGAGAGAGAGAGAGAGAGAGAGAGAGAGGGAGAGAGAGAGAGAGAGAGAGAGAGAGCAGACGAGCGGAAAACTGTTGAAAACCATTTTCAAATTTTCAATGCAAAATCTAAACCTCCTTGAAACTTCAAATCGGATTTATTCGGATTTTACATGAATAAAGTTATTCGGATAAATTATTTGAATCGGATAAAATTATTTGAATAAAGAGGAAGACCTCTTTGGCAACTTATTTATACAGGCTTTAACGTAATTTTAATTTTTACGTGACCGCTTTTAATAATTCCGCAAGCTCGCAAGCCCTTAAAGTTACAGCAATGAGAACCTATTTTGTCCTTATTAGTTCAGTTTTTAATATCCCAGCAAATGAAATAATAATTTCGCTCTTCGTCATAAGCGCACCTTGCTTCGCTAGGTGGCCGCGAGCGCGCATTACCGAGACACGAGATACACGGCTAAATCCGAAGCGCGGAATTACATCCTCCATTAAATGCGTTTTTATCCGGACCTTTTTCCCATTAATTTATGGTGCTGTTCGGTTTCTCGTCCGAGAGTTTGCTAGGCCGCGGGAAAGATTGCCGCTTGGCGGAGAAATCCCCTTGTATGGCGTATAGAGAAGAATGGACTCTTGCGATCTAACGAATGTCTTCGATCCCGCGAAAGCGCTTTCGTCATCAGCGAGCAAGCAAGGCCGATCGATATAGAGCGAAATAGAAGACCGCGCGGGTGGTGGTGGCGCGAGGGAGAAAGCGACAGTCCGCTATTTTGCACTCCGGAACGACGCGACGCACCGATCGTACACGACGCCCCATCGAGGCCAGGAATGATTATTCGTTTCGCCTGTCATTTAATTAACGGGCGCAACACGGCCTCGCGCTTTTAACGAAGACTGTGTGTGCGCGCGCGCCGTTGATTAATTTCAATCCCGCGCTCGCGTGTGGTAGCTCTTTGAAAACGAGTTAATAACTTTAACAGGCTCGCGCAAGGGTCCAGCCATAACAAACTCGATATATCTGTCGATTTATACCACGGCCGCCGGTAATTTTTGTCCATCGAGGTCAGGCGGCCGGACGAGAGAAGAAGAGAACAGCGGGAGAGAGAAGGAGAGGGACAGTGTGTTAATGTTGATTAGGTTTTCCGTCAATGCGTCGCTTATCTTATCGACGGCGGTACCTTTAGTGCTCGGCAAACGTTTCATCAATCTCGTCACAGCGGAAGGATAAGCGAAAAGTAAATGAGCCGAGAGTGCGAGTCGCGGAAATGCCGGCGTGCGAAAACAATGGTCACTTTAAAAATTGTTATTTCAAGAAACACACGCTATACCGACAAATAGGCGATTTTACGATGCATCGTCGAAACGGTGTAAGATTTGGGACATTTCAAATAAAAATTCAAGATACAAAATCCCCTGTAATCGTTATCGGCTATTATTCCATTTAACGCGCTCTTTTATGCAAATTCCGAAATAGAGTGCTTCAACAAGCTAAAGTGCTCTCACGCTGGGCGTCCCACTAGATAAATAATATCATATTTAATTATACGAACATGTATATCTCTCGGACAGAATGTCGTAAAATTATTCTACCTCCGCCTATGTTACATCTCGGCACTCCCAGCTATCAGGAGATATTACTCGTCCATCGACCTACGGACGACAATTCAGACAGGGTGATAATCCGCGACATGTCCGATAGTACGCTGACCCTCACCACTCGCTCTGTGCCGTACGATTGAATACGTGTCTCGTGCAGATAGGGTTCGCATTAAGGTGGTTGTTAACTGTCACGTTCAACTAGAGTCCACCCGTGCAATCACAATGCATGCAAGCGACATTAGCTTTTGCTACACGCACAGACTTATGGAGAGTCTGTGTGAGGGAATAAACATCGTCGTCGTCGTCGTCGTCGTAGGCGGAAAGTACGCAGTTGTCGTGTTCCGCGATTTTTACATCACTGTGTCGACGTCTTCTACGACGTACGTCTCTCGCCTGTCATTCGTTTCGTTCGAACGTGTCTTCGCGCAACTGGTTACGCTGAGACGCGGTAAGCTCGATCGCGGTTTCTATCATCGACTGTTTGTTCGACTCCGGTGAGACAATCGCGTGGGCGTTCTCCTTTGAGCGAGTAGTGAAAGCAACGGCTGATGTGTCAGCCATCAGCAGAGTGCGTGTGTTTCACGTAACTGCCAAAAGTCTTCTGTCACTGTTGTTCGCACATCGACGTTTTAAGGCCGAAGACGAAATAAAACGCGACGGCGTATCTATGCATATCTAGCGAATAATGACGACTACACCAAAGTGACACCAAATTGACAAAGCGCTCGCGCATCCCACCTGCCGAAAACGCTTCCATCCATTGCGTCAACTCCGTCAAATCCCGGAAAAAAATACGTCGAGGTCACGGCAATGAGCGGACGAGCGAGAGCCGAAAAGCGCAGGTGACAAGCAAGCTCGAAGTCGAGCGCAGCTGTCACGCAGGAATGTCATCGGACGTCGATTTCCCTCCGAGCAAAATTCCCACCCGACTCGCCACTCGTGCGACTGTCGCGGCACCGCGAAAGGAACCGCGAAACGGACGATTGCAGCAACCACCGGTGAATCCAGCCGAGCCAACACGAAGCAGAGATGCGCGGTCGCGCGCGTTCCTCGAATTCCGGACGGAGCTCTCGCCTCAGTGGAACCAGCCGGAGACCGGAAGCGACCGCGATTCACTGGTGTCACTGGTGACCCAGTTTCCCGCGCGTCAGGAGCCAACTCAGACACCGATTTACTCACCGTCGCGCTGACGCTTGCCGATGGCCGAGTGGAGTGCGGTCTCAGTCTCGAGGCAAAGTCCTTCGGCGTTCGGAGCAAATCGAATCACGATGTAACGCCCTTCGAGAACGTCACGAGACGTACGCGCGTACGTACCCGCGCGCGATCTACGAACGTTTCCGGCGTGCTCGCGGATCGCGACAAAGAGCCACAGGCGATCGAGCGCGCGCTCGTTCGAGAGTCGAAGTGGGATAGCCACTTGTAGCGCCGGCGGATGACCGGGCGCGTAAACCAGACTGGCGGGTTGGCGAACAGGTGAAATGCCGTCGCGTGCATCTCTCTCTCTCTCTCACTTACTCCTGCTCTCTCCCTCCTTCTCCAGCACCCTCTCTTTCTCCTTCTCTCTTACTCTCTATTCCTCTCTTTCCCCCCACAGCTGTATTCGCGTCCCTCTCCTTCCACCACTTTCACCAGTTACACCCTCTCTTTCATCCCTGCGCGTTTCGCACTCCTTGCCAGGTGGCTTCCCCTCTTCGTCTATCGTCCTTCTTGCTTTCGCGCAGGATCCGAGCTGCGTTCGTCTCTTTTCGATTCTCATCACGCATCTTACTTCTTTCCAGTCTTCTCTGGGACAGTCTTCTCCGTCTACTACCCCCGCTGTCTACCCCACTCTCTTTCTTTCTCTAGCATTCATTCTCTAGCATACTGTCTTGCTGTCTCTCCCTGTTTACCGTCTCGACGTACATCCCTTACCATTCTCTCTCTATCTTGTTCTCTCTCTCTCTCTCTCTCTCTCTCTCTCTCTCTCTCTCTCTCCCCCTTTTTCGGACGTCTCTCTTTTTCGCAAAACAACCCCGCTGGCGCGTTCGTTTCTCCTCCTTCTCTCTCTCTCTCTCTCTCTCTCTCTCTCTCTCTCTCTTTCTCTCTCCCTCTTCATCCTTCCAACCTCCTCTGTCCCACCAGAAGCACCACGTCATCTGTCTGTCTCCCTCTCGGATTCGCCCTCTCGCTTCCATCTTCGGATTCACCCTCCCGTTTTTTTCCAGCACGGTGTCTCCTTCCACTCTGCCACAACCCCTCCCTCCTCTTCCTCCTCTCTTCCTTCGGTGTCCCTCTGACCGTTCCACCCTCTTCAATGACTCCCACCCGGTTCTGCTCCTCGATGCTACCCTACCTACGAGGTTCGCGGCGCGCTCCCTACCCCCACAGGGGCACAACCGGAGGTACTTGCGTGCGCAGCACGTCCATCGATCTATTTCAGCTCACCTACGCCAGGCCGGGCCTATACCGTACCTGCTGATGTTTGCCTGCCTGGAGCGCGTACGGGTGCGTTCACACCGCCACGTCGACGGAAGCTGCGAGAGGTGGGTGCGAAAAAGGGTGCTGGGGTGGTAGGATGGGAGGTCTCCCGAGCGAAACTTCTACTCGAATTCGCGATTCTGGGCTACTACCAAGATCGAAAGCGTTTCAGACGACATCATGCGCGCCACCCTATCGATTCGCAGAACGAATGGGATGCTCGGTGGGATCGAGTAATCAGATTAATCAGCGGCGATCCGATCGTTTACTCCACGCGTTATCCACGCTCGCTCGCTCGTTGTTAAGTAATTAACTCGTCGTTAAGCAACTCGAGCTGCGCTGCGAACAAGTGAGCGAGGAACGAGCAAGCGAGTGCGCACGATTCTCTCGCTTGGGCTTCTCTTGCTGAGAAAACGAGTAGTTTTTGAATTACGTAATCATCATGAGCCGAGCGAGCGGGTTGTCCGACCAACCTCCGCGGAGCTGCCATCTTCTCTGAGAGGCCATGTAAAAGCCGCTCTCTGCTCAGTTGTTGTTAATATTGCATAATCTTTTTTCGTGCATTAATGGCCTTTGTGTACCGTAATATTAGATCTTCGTTATCCATTCCGGCCTCCCCATTAGGCTTCCCCATTAGAATGTCCCGCGCATAGTGCTCGATTTTCGCCTTTCGCACTTCGGGCGTGTTCCACGGCGAATTTGGGGCAACGATTTTTCTAGCGAGACCAATCCAAGAGAATCCACCCCGATGGAATTTACGCTTAAAGTCCCGGGGTACCGCCGTCCGTTAAAACATACTGCCGCCGTATTATTTCTCCGGCGACAAGCGAACGCTATCAAGTGCGACTCGGAAATCGCCCATGGAAAATTGCGACGCTTTCGAGGAGAATTTATCCGTCGCCCCGTGTCGAAGTTCGACTCGGTTTACACTGCAAGTCCAAGTGTGTTATTTTTCTACGTATAAATGTCTAAAAGCAACACATTTGGCTGAAGCTCTTCCCATCCATTCTCTCGCCACTTTGGATCGCGTTGCTTCAAAGATGTTCAAACGTATTAAATTACAAGTTAATACGTTCAAACGACGCCATTCGAAACGGCGAAGAAACGTATGAAAAGAATTTCCGTCTAAGTAACGCACTTAGGTTAAGCTCGTTCCCGCGAGTAGTTCGATAAAGCGAAGTGACACGTGTCACGTTGCCCGCGATATCGCGTGTCCGGTATAAACGCACACACATGTGTTCCGGCAGCGCCGGAAAAATGATTGTCGACCGCATAATATCCGACAACGTAGTTGCCCGTAATTTTCCGTGGGGTATTTGCGTAGCGCCGGTCCTTTTCATCCGGCGATATCGGCATTATCGCGACATATTCGTGCGGGTCCGGCTGAGTACAGACGGCACGATAATCACGTTAGCACCACACGTGGAATGTGATTTCGGTTTAATACCCGAAGCCATCTGTTGTGCAAGGGACTCTGGCGCGACCTACGCCACTCGCGTGATTGTAATTTCCATGGGAATTGCTCGCCGACACAAATGTCGCCGGTATACTTCAAACAGTTATTCGCGACGGTCACGCATCACGAGGTGTTCAGCTTTATCTCGCACGTGCGGGCGCGCGTTCGTATATTTTTCCACGATTAACGCCGGTTTCAGAGGAAGAGAGAGAGAGAGAGAGAGAGAGATACATCTTATCCCACTTGAGTTTATCCGGTGAGAGCCGAAACAACACGCGCGCGAATATAAACACACGAATGACACGAATTGCAGTGAAAACGGTGCGAGTGCCTGGCCGCGCTGCAATCGACTGTGAAATTCGTGACGTAGGTTATAAGAGGAAAGAGGTAGGTTACACAAGAGGGGCGAAGAAGGAAAGGGGAAGTCACAAAAATAAGTGATTATACTCCTTCCGCGTCTTCTCGTAACTATGGAAACGCAGCATTTCGCGCATGATATATTCCTGCTTATCTGCGCCATCGAGAATCGTGCCGACCAAAATTGATGTGTTTCGTAACTTGGTCTCCGTAGATTTATTACAGATTCACTTGTCGCGGACTTATGGAGTCATAGATCTGCGGATAAGCTGCGAATTCACGAACGTACAAATGGACTGACCGAACGCGTACGCCGCCGGACTTTTTCGATGAACGGCTTCGCATTTGAGAAACCACGTACATATATACACAAACATACATACATACATACACACACATACATAACATGCGAAATCGTACTTTTTTCTTTTGCCGAGATTTCTCGGTCTGACCCGCGAGATATTTCGTCGATTTCGCTGCAGCTTTTGTGGCACGGTGTTAAACGCTTGGATGATTCGGTCGGATATGAAAACGTACGGTAGGAGGGACCGCGAGCGTTGAAATTGTTTTCGCCTTTTGCGAAACAACAAAAGCACATTGCGATCTCGAGGCAGCCGAGCATCGAGTGCGCGATGCGGCTTGAAAATTATTCTCGATTCGTACGCGATCGATACACGTGCTAGTTACGACCTACTTGATAAACTCGATGACTAATAAGCATCTTGTCAAAATGTCGCCTTTTTGTATGTAAAAAAAATTTGTCGTTCGTTGTAGACGAGTTCGTTAGTAGTCGACCGTACGATAAGCCGATAAGATAAGGTGTACGCATATCACCGTATATTTAGTCTATTGATTAATGTTGCTTCATGACGAAGAAAATTAAATATGTAGATTAAATGTTTTAAATTAACTCAAACTTAAATTCGACCACGTAACGAGCAATTATACTTATAATTTATCGCTTGGATTTTCATTCAAAGTACAAGACTCTATTCCAACACTTTTTAATGACAATCAGATTTAACTGAACTCCAATTGGATTTAAATTATACCCCAAGGAACTTTCTGTGCAGAAAGGCACAGTGTGCGAGTTCATAAATACTAGTTGTTACAAACTCGCGTTATCGCGCGCTTTGTTTCCTTTCAAGGGATCTCGCGCTCTGTCAATTATATAAAATTCACGCGATAGCTTTTACCAGCGGCAATCAATGCGATTTGCATCTAAGCATGCACTACGTAATATGGCTTTTTACGAGCGTTCGAACTCAACTCACTCACCATTGCGCGTCAATTTTCAGCGACGTTCAGCAGCCTAGACTCGTATCAATGTCCATCCTCATTAACATCCGGTTTTGATGGCGTCTTCCCACGTTGATTGTGCTACTTACTTACTTCGTTGTACTCATGACTGCGTGGTAATACGGTGTTTAACAAACCGGCTTTAGCGGCGAATGAACGGAACGCGACATGGACGTGATAAATTAGAGCCCTACGAGAATAAACTCGCTAGTCGTGAATTGTGTGTAAAAAGCAAAAAACCGAAGACTACAAAAATGTAAAGTTGAAATGATATTGTAATCGGTTAAGAATAGAAATCTGCGAAATCTGATGACTGCGACGGTTGAAAAATTTGACACAAGTAAAATACATAATCGCGAGTGATGGTGCGCATTTTACTGCTCGATACAATCATAGGAAGCTGTATTGAATAAAAATCGTATTGAAATATTTATAAAAGGAAGCTTATTGAAGATTAAGAGATTAAAATGAAACATTGAGACTGCAGAAATTAGTTATCACGGCAGAAAAAGTGATCAATAGTTCGTGGATCTATTAATACACAAATATTGCACAAAATAATTCTCTCTAATTATTTTGAGCAATATATTTTACGGAACGACACAAACACATACATGCAAATATATAACGTGCAAAAACCTACATGCTGCATACTGAGAGAAAAAATTTCGTTATAAAAATTTCGTATACAAGTGCTTACGATAAAAATAGTTCTCCAGGCTATAATTATTTCACTATACCGTTATAATTATAAATACTAAATATGTTTCTCTCAGTGCGGATAAATCGCATTGACTTCATTAACATTTCGCAACCCACTACTGTCAAACCCATTATTTTTCATTTTTTGATTCACCGAAATACCGGGAACTTGGAGCCGGCCATGTTCCGCTACAGATTTGAAGCAAAAAATAAA